TGGGACATCCCTCTCACAATCCGGGACTGCTGGCTTCTAACCACTCACCTGCTTGCCTAATCACCACTAACCGCTCACCTGCCTGCCTGTCTGATCACCCCTAACTGCCTCTGCTTCATCCACCTAACCACTCGCCTGCCTGTCTGATCACCCCTAGCTGCCTCTGGTTCATCCAGAAGGACGTCCAGAATGACATCTGGAAGGTCGTTCGGCTGTCTGGTCTAATTACCATATTACTCTTTTATTTTTATAGATGATTACAGAGTTTTCAGTGCCTTGCCTCAAGACCAGTGTGTTTTCCAGAGATACATAGTTGAAAACATGGACTCTGGCAGCAGACAGAATTGCATTTAAGTCTCAACTTCTTAATTTACTAGTCATGTGGCCTTACCAAATTATTTAACCTTTTAAAAAAATTATATATATATTTAGTGGTTTTTTAGAGAGGAAGGAAGAGGGAGAGAGAAAGAGAAACATGGATGTGAGAGTGGAACATGGATTGGCTGCCTCCAGCACACCCCCACCCCCGGGGATTGAGCCCACAATCTGGGCTTGTGCCATGACTGGGAATCAAACCAACAACACAGTGTCCTCTCTTATTTGCAGTGCACTTTCGACAGTTTCAGTTACCTGGAGTCCAAGATGGGCTGAAAATATTAAATAAAAAAATTCTGGAAATAAACAATTTATGTTTGAATTTGCATGCTCTTCTGAAGATTGTGATGAAATCTCATGCGGTCCTGCTAGTCACTTAGTAGTGGTTTAGGACTAGGTCATCAACTTGACTGTCGAGGCATCGCAGTACTTGTGTGCAAGTAACTCTTACTTTACTTAACAATGGCTATTCATATACCTTTTATTACAGTATATTGTTATAACTGTTCTATTTACTGTTGTTTATATCTTACTGTGCCTATTTATAAGTTAAACTTTATCGTAGGTATGTGTATGTATAGGAAGAAACATAGTAAATATTGGGTTCATTACTGTCCACAGTTCCAGGCATCTGCTGGGGATCTTGGAAGGGACTCCTCCTGCGGATCAGGGAGGGACTACTGTCGTAGAAAGGACACCAGTGAGGACACCAACTGGCCATCTCTCTGGGGAGGAGGTGTCCCTGATGAGGCGCGTTCAGTGCTAAATTGTCTACTAATTCTAACCGGGAGTTAATTCTTTGACAGCAGAATCACTCATCTTTGCCTCTTCTCTCATGCCCAAGATGATGCCTTGCATAAAGCAGGCTGTGGGCAATAAATAGATGCCGCATGGGGAAATTATGAGAGGAAATCCATCGTCAAGCACGATTTATGGCTTGGGGCTTAGGCTGCCCCAGAGGCATTGAACCAGGAGCCAGGGAGTTAGAAAGTTCAGGAGGAACTCCAAACCCCTTTCCTTAAAGACAGAAACAGGTGCGTTTTGAAGCAGCCCTACAAAATACCTGTAGAATGGCCCCCTGCAAGCTCCGATGACGCCAATGCTTTTCTAGAGATCATGCAGGATGAAGTTATAAATTTGTGAGAAATCCTGGACAAGACAGTGATTTGGACCCCTGTCTACCTGTCTTTACCAGAGAAAAGGATTTTTTTTTTCTTTTTAAAAAAATATATCTTTATTGATTTCAGAGAGGAAGGGAGAGGGAAAGGGAGATAGAAACATCAATGATGAGAGAGAATCACTGATCAGTTGCCTCCTTCATGAGTGGGGATCGAGCCCTCAACCTGGGCATATGCTCTGACCAGGATTCGAACCGTGACCTCCTGGTTCACAGGTCGACGCTCAACCACTGAGCTACCGCGGCTGGGCGAGAAAAGGAATTTCTTAATTTTTTTCCCCCCTTCTACTTTATAGAGTTCTGTATTTGATTTTCCAAGTTTGTATGAAGGGCTTTTGCAATAATTGACTGTTAGGACGTTGGTGTGACTGAGGAACAGAACACATACCGCATGCCCTAGTGACAGGTTGCTGTGTTTCGGTGAAAGGGTCAGGGGAAGGATGCAGATGGAAAGGTAGATGCTGATTTGAATAAGGTCAAATAGCCTGTACAGCTTCCGAAACTGCCTTGGAGTAAGTCTATTATATTCAGCTTCAAAGGCCTCAGACCTCAGTCAGTGCTCTCACCAGCAGCACCACGTTTCCAGCGGCTGTGTCTGCATGTGTTCCCGAGGTTCCCTTTCTGCCTTAAACTGCAGGAAGCCACTTTGTATCTAGATGTCTGGAGAAATTAATGACTCATGGGAGCAGTCATTAGCTATATCTGTTATGAGTTGATGTGCAGAAATTCTAGCTGCTTCATCCCTTGGTTAGAAACAAACCTTAAAAAGAAAAGAAAGAAACCTTAGGTGTACCAATTCCCAGAGTTTCCCAGCAAAATTACACTTCAGTTGCCCACTAATGAGGCACCCTTTATTAGTCAGCTCTGGCTGCCATAACTAAATACCACAGATGGAATGGCTTTACCAAGAGACATTTTCTGTCCTGGCTGGATTGCTCAGTTTGTTAGAGCATAGTCCCCATGTACCAAGTTTGCAGGTTTGATCCCCGGGTAGGGCACATACAAGAAACAACCAATGAATGCACAAATGAGTGGAATGGCAGGTCGATGTTTCTTTCTTTCTTTCTCTCTCTCTCTCCCGCTCTCTCTCTCTCTCTCTCTCTCTCCCAAAATATATACACATTTTCTCACATTTCTGGACATAAGAAGTCCAAGATGAAAGTGCCTCAGGGTTGATTTCTAGTGAGGGTTAGCTTCCTGGCTTACAAATGACCATCTCACTGTATCCGCAAATGGCCTTTATTTTGTGCATGGAGAAAGGGGGGGAGGCTAATTTTATTTTTCAATTACTATTTGTATTCAATATTACTTCGTATTAGTTTCAGGTGTACAGCATAGTGGTTAGATAATAATATATTTTACAAAGTGTTCCCTCTGATATTTCCAGTACCCACCTGGCACCATACAGAATTATTACAATATTATTGACTAGGCTCCCTATTCCGTACTTTACATACCCATGCCTATTTTGTAACTGCCAATTTGTACTTCTTAATCCTTTTCATCCAGTCTCCTCCACCCCCATCCGCTCTGGCAACCATCAGAGAAAAAGAATTTCTAATGCAACTGCGGATATGCAACTGCAAAAGAATAGGGACCATGTATCACAGAAGCCTCCACAGCAGGGGTCCTCAAACTACAGCCCGCGGGCCACATGCGGCCCACCGAAAACATTTATCCGGCCCGCCCACCGGGTGTTTTTGCCACCGCTGTGTGCATAGGAATTTGTTCATAGTTTTTTTTTTTAAACTATAGTCTGGCCCTCCAACGGTCTGAGGGACAGTGAACTGGCCCGCTGTTTAAAAAGTTTGAGGACCCCTGCTCCACAGGCTATTTCAAAAGTTGTTTATTTATTGATTGATTTGAGAGAGAGAGAGAAACATCAGTTTGTTGATCCACTTATTTATGCATTCATTGGTTGATTCTTGCATGTGCCCTGACCAGAGATCAAACCCACAACCTTGGCTTATTGGGAGGATGCGCCAACGAACTGAGCTACCCGGCCAGGGCCCACAAACTATTTTAAAAAGTGACCCGAACTTTTTACAGGACGTCATTGGATCCCTACAAGAAAGTTCATCACTCGGATCTGCTAAAATTCATTTTCTGGTTGGAGAACTTTGGGGCTTGCCCCTGCAAGGTGCTAGCGGCTGGAGGGCAAGGGTATGCACACTTAAGAAGACAGGGGGAGGGTCTTACAAGTAAATGGAGGTATTGCAAAAGGAACCATAGGATGTGTGTGGAGGGGAAGCAACATCAGGGACGTGTGTGTGTGTGTGTGTGTGTGTGTGTGTGTGTGTGGTGTGTGTGTGTGTGTGTGTGTGTATGGGGGGTTTGGGGTGTGTGGGGGAATCAAAAGGGAAAGCAGGGCGCAAGCAATAGCTGGGGGTGAGGGCGGGGTGGCAGGGAGGGAGGAGGGGAATAGCTGTGGAGGAGGAGGGGTGATGAAAAGGTGAGAAGGAAAGGAGTGGGGAAGCAACCTCACGTGCAGGGCTCCCAAGATTATGGAGAGAAGCTGTCAAGAGAATGGGTTTAGGGAATTGGGGTGGAGGGACTTGGTCCCAAGGAGATGCCTCCTGGGTTTCTTGCAGCCCAGGGCTAAGGGAGTGGACACAGATCCCCGGGCTGCGGGGGGTGAGACCGGGCTCTGGGGGCGCCGCCCGATTCCTC